ACAATCAATACACAATAAATCTTCAAATAAGACAACACAACTACTTAACTGGCTCACAGAAGATATTTATATCTTCTGTCATTTTATTTACTTGTTCTGACATTAGTCTTTAGTATCCAGGTGAGTTGGTGCTGACAGATGACCTGTAACCTGTATAATAATAATAATAATAATAATAGACCAGAAATATCCAGATCAGGTTACATTGTAACAATAATAGAAAATCTCTGTTTCAATGTAACAACGTTAAATAATCTAAAGATTTGACAGGTTGAAACTTAAGTAAACAAAACCACATTATATCATATATATATTATATTTAATGTAAACGGCCTAAAGATGTTTTAGACATGAAGACATGTTAAATGTTCAATATGTTCCAGGGTCAGTTTGATTATCACGTCATTGTTATAATCACTAAAATGTTATTATTGTTCTGGTATAACTAACACTGATTAATTATTATGAGTTTTAAGTTACACAGGACAATAAATTATAAATGATTACTGTAAAATAACCCAATGTGAAGATTTCAGTATTAAGGATTAGTTTGTCTCACTTTTAGTAAAGTGAATAGTTTTTTTTTTGTCCTTTTATATTCTAATATTTTATGTTTCATACAATCACTGTACAAGAAAAATGCTCAAATATAAAACAGTGAGAAATATAAATTAGCTGACTGGCTCTCCTCAGATATTTGTTAATAATACATTATGATACATTTGAGCTTTTTGTGTCTTATCTGGTGATCCAGTTCAGCAGTGTTGACAGACAGCCTCAGATCAGGTTACATTGTAACAATAATAGAAAACCTCCTAACATCTGGAGACAATAACAACAAGAAGAAGAGTAAGAATAATAAGCAGGAGTGAGCTCTTTAAGGGGAGTGTGGGTGGCTCTTAAAAGAGCCTTTAGTCGGACACATTCAGACTGCTGACAGCTCACTTCTTCTTGGGTGCTGCCTTCTTGGCTTTGGGCTTTGCAGCCTTCTTTGCGGGGGCTTTCTTGGCTGCAGGAGCCTTCTTCACCACCTTCTTGGGGCTCTTGGTGGCCTTCTTGGGGCTCTTGGCCGCGGCTTTCTTGGGGCTCTTGGCCGCCGCCGCCGCGGGTTTCTTGGCCTTCTTCGGGGACTTCTTCGCGGCTGCGGGCTTCTTGGCTGCCGCTGCTTTGGGCTTTTTGGCCGCTGCTGCTTTGGCTTTCTTGGCTCCTGCTCCTGCTGCTGCTCCTGCGGGCTTCTTGGCTTTAGGAGCGGCGGCTTTCTTGGCTGCTGCTGCTGCTGCTGCTGCTGCCGGCTTCTTCTTCTTGGCTGCGGGCTCGGCCGCCTTCTTGTTCATCTTGAAGGATCCGGAGGCCCCGGTCCCCTTGGTCTGGACCAGAGTCCCTTTGGTCACCAGGCCCTTGATGGCGGTCTTGACGCGGGCCTTGTTCTTCTCCACATCGTAGCCTCCGGCAGCCAGAGCCTTCTTGAGGGCGGCCGCAGACACGCCGCTGCGCTCCTTGGATGCGGCCACAGTTTTCAGGATGAGCTCGCTGACGCTGGGGCCGGCCTTCTTCGCTTTGGAAACCTTCTTCTTGGCTGCTTTAGCCGGGGCGGCGGCGGCGGCGGCGGGAGCTGCAGCTGGAGCTACTTCTGCCATTCTGTCAACTTAATGTGTTGTCTTCCTGCTCAGCGCGATACGACAGTGACACTGAGTGTTGGAGAGTCCGGAGCAGGAGGCTGCACTTAAACACACCATGAGAACCGTGGAGACTCAACCCGGCCCCTGCCTCCTGATGCCGGCTCACTTGTGTTTTCTCCTCATCGATAAAACGCTCCAAACTCAATGTGGGACAAGTGCTGGAGGCTGACGCTGAAGGGAGCCGATAGCGGACTTGTGTCTCTTCATATTCAGCTCTTGTACAGCTCTGATGCTCTCTGCATTTTCTTTGGGGAGCCTCCAAACCTCACAGATTCACCGTCCTGAGCGGCGCTGCTCGGCGGCTTTTAACACTCATTTCTCTCCCACAATCATTTCAAAAGCATCGCAGCTCCGTCAAAACACGTTTTCCAGTCGCTGCACATCTTTGTTCACACACTCAACGTAAAAACAATCCTCTGCTCATGATCGCTTTGGGATAAAATCAACTTATTCTGCTCGCAGCAAACACACTGATGATGGCTGAGACTCACGGTGACACACTTCACATCAGAGCTGATCATCGTGGCTGAATTTCACTGATCAATATATTGTGCGTGTAATCTTAGACAACACTAAATTATTTTTCTCGATCAAGAATGATCTCCAGCATTATTATTATTATTATTATTATTATTATTAAGTTACACAGACACTCAAAAAGCAACTGCATTGTATTTTTACTGCAGCCATAAAACTCTGTCCTCTGGCCTCATGCTGAACTAACAGTGTTGGTTTACTTGTTTACTAATTAATTTATTCACTATAAGTGGTGATTTGATTCCTGAAAGGCAGAAGATTCAGAGAAACAAAACTCATGTCTGATAATAAACATAATGATTTATAAATATTGATGTTGTCCAGTCAGAGACATTTTTTGATATCAGCAGCACTATGTAGAGGAGTTCCTTTAGGTAAGAGGCATTGTGCACAAATGGACCATGTTTAAATTCAACATCAATGTTTTTATCTCTGACTCCATTTGTGAAATGCATTGAAGCATTTGTTATCAGGACTGTGAACGCTGTGATGTTAACCACATGTTATAGATAAACAGCTGTGTGTGAGCTCAGAGATACTCTCTGGAAATAGAGTCAAAACCTTTTTTAAATGTTTTAATCAAGACCAAAAATATTGTAGTGAGGAGATGTGGAAGAAGCTTCCTGTCTCCATCAGGAGGAGCTGCTGTGTCTCATCTTCACTACAATGAATCATGGGACATTTATTAGTTTTAATAAAGCAGCTCCATGAGACTACAGCTCTCACAGGACGTCTGCTAACAGAGATAAGCCAACGGACCTCTCTGTTTTTGTTTGTAACCTCTGTACCTTCTCCATCAGCTATATTCAATAAACCCTCCAACATAATATACATACATATATATGTATGTATATACATATATATGTATATTCTTTCAGAAAGTTATTTGAAGTTACAGCAGATAACACACTGACTCAGAGTCTTTGTGTAAACAAACAATGGATGAAAATATTATTAGAATATTATATAATAATAAAACATCTTGATGTTGGGCAGTATAAGCACTTATGTGCATTTTATCAACACAGTGAGGTAAAAAGGTTTATATAGTTTATTTGTCTTTCTGACATATATTATGTTTCAGTGGTCAAATGAATACAAGCTGCTTATTTTGTGGTGGAAACAGAAACAGAATCAGCACCTTGGACAGCGACACTTCAGTGTGACAGTTCAGAGCTTGTTTTCTCACAGCAGCAGAATGAATGTTTCACATCTTCATCACATAATTAAAATATATTAAACGATCAGTGATTGACTGAGATATCCTCTGAGACCAAAAACAAGTCGGAATTATAATCTGAGACACAAAGAGCAGAGGGAGGTTTCATAAAGGCTCATTAAAGCAGCGTTCACTGTCGTCAATCAGCCGCAAAACAAACTGAACTGAAACTGAATTGGTTCATGAAGCTGGTTTGGATCCAATGTGAGCAGAATAAGTCTTTAAAAGACAGAGCTGAAATATAAAGTGCTGATTACGTCAATGTAAAAGAAATAGACACATTAAGACAAAAATTTTCATTTTATTACAGAAAAAACTGATAAAATCACTTCATTAATGAACTTCAGTGTTCTGTAGGTTACAAATCATATATATATATATATATATATATATAAAATTATATATTATAAAATATAACACTACATCTTTTACACATTATTTCATAGATATAGTCCATCAGTTGGATCATGTTTCTTTGTATATATTAGTGTCCATAATGATGAAAATACTGCTCAAACAACATTTGTCACTTTCTGTATTTAACTTTATGCATGTATAATTCTTTAATTTTATTCAATGACATTTAAAGAGATGAAATGTGTAAAACATTTCCTGTTTGTCTGATTTATCCTGGTTCCGGGGTTAGTCTGGACGGTTTCATCGTGAATTTGAATAAACTAATAAAAACACATAGACCTTTGTGAAACTGAAATTCCTGAAAGTTACTGAAAACACCATAAATAGTGAGTCCAGATTGTTAAAGAAACAACAACTATCCAGTGTTTCCTCTACTTTTTTTGGCAGTGGTGGTTTAAGGTCATTTATTTTAGTTTCATGCCCGTACCGGTTCTGGTTGTAGTGTTGGTTGAATCAGTATAATTTTGTGTGTTTTTTTAATTATAACATTAATATAGGTAAACACTAGGGGTGTTTATAACACAAAAATAACAAAATTATGATGTTAATATATCTTACTGAAGCCTTGGGATGTAGCAGCCACTACATGCATTACTGCCTATTTATTCCCCTCAAATGGGGCTATGTGCACCCCTAGGGGTACTTTCAAAGTACTACAGGAACTGTGTGTGAAAATAGTATTTTATAAAGATGTATACAGAATTACTCAAAATTATTAAACTATACATTAAAAATGTAAATGTCACTTCGATAACCACATTTTATATTTATATAATAACTGGGCTGTATTACACCATATTAACTTCAGTGACAGTAAATAGTAAAGAGAATATCAGTCAATGCATTCTATTGTTTATAATTAGACCAAAGTCAGTTTTTTCCCCCTGTACTAACCTCAACAGTAATATCTATTTGGGATTAAATACTGTATTAAGTATCATTTATTATTGTCTGGCCTCTACTAGGTGCTAAGTAGAAGCTGATCAACTGTATCTGAAATATGTTGAGTAAGAATCTGTAGAATTGTATTAACAACCACTTTAAAACATAGTAAATATAAGTCTTCATGTAATGAACCAGGACTGTGTCTCTTTGTTGAGAAGTGGTGTGCCTTAAAAAGGACCTTTGCTTCAGTGATCA